ATAATCAAATCTTACTTCGGATATTTGGGGAAACGTCTATTCATGGCCATAGCACCAGAGACAATTCGCACATCGTGCCATGTGCCAGCTAATTGACCGCTCAAAACATTGCCTACCATTTGAACGTTCTCGAATTCATCATTTTCGTTCATACCAGCATCCTATAACGAAGAGGCTTGAGAAAAGCCAATTTTCTTTAAATTATATTCGCACTCACTTCAGTCTCAGACGCACCGGTAGGCAAGTAGTACACACCTTTCCCGATTGGTCCATCAACCGATAATTCCCCCTCATAGTAATAACCGTTCTCCAGAACTGCTATGCCGGTGCCAGCCAGCTCATCGTTCGTAAACAAGCCTTCGAAGTAGTCGCCATTCATGGTAATGCAAATTCCAGCACCCACGCGTTTATTGTCAGCAAACATGCCCATATACTTATCACCTGTTATCATATCGTCCAAAATGCCATAGCCACATTTGGCATTGGCCTGATATTCGCCAACGTAGGTGTAGCTGTTGCTACGCAGCATGCCATGTCCGTGAAAAAGACCTTCGCAGAAATGACCTTCGTAAATCTCATTCTCTTTCAGCTCATAGGTTCCATGGCCATGAAATTTACCACCCTTAAAATTGCCTTCATAAATTCCTATCGAGGGTATCACCATTTTGCCATAACCTTTTGAAATAAAAAATGTTTTAGGTGTGATAGCAACACAAGCCAATCAGTCTTACCTTCAATTTCACCATTGCGGATTTGCCCAAAGTAGACGCGTCCGTCGGGATACTCGAGATAGCAGTTTCCATGCAACAATCCGTTTCTCCAGCGACCACACGCGTGTACTCCGGCATACTTGGCATGGTTGCGGCTGAAAACGTGAGCTGTTGTGCGCACGCTCGACAGTTTGGTGTCAGACGAACGGCCGAGCGCCGCTTTCACAGCGGATTCTATTTGATCAAACCAAAGTTTTTTGTCGTGATGTGTTCGCGCCAGTAATGTAAATGTGCGTTCCGGCGTGGTTATGCGCAAAGCGGTGTCATTTTCCATCTTCAGCCAGAGAGTAACCAAAGGATAGGTATACAAGTGGCTGCCAACCTGGCAGAAGCAATCGGAAAACAAGATAAATGTGGTACTGGACATGCTCATTGTAGTGTGTGCCAATTTCAGGGGCACCGTTGATGAGGCGAGTATGACACGGCGCTGTTTGCGGCGGAAATGCCTTATTTTGGAGTTGCGCTCATTTCGTTGCCAAAACTCGAAGGTGTTTTCAGCAAGTTCTAAATCGATACGTTGCTGTCGGCTGAAGCTATCCCAAGCGTAAAGATGTTCTGTGAATTCAGGACGTGTTTTTATGAGTTGTTCGAGGAATTGCACGTAATGGGGGAACGCTTGAAATGGCTGCTGGCAGAAACGCACCAAGTCAACGTTGTGCTCATGTTTACCAGGCAGTAGTGGTACGCTAGACATATGGTTATATAGTTTCGAAGCCTCCGTAAAGCCATCGACCGAATAAAGGTCACAATAAACTTTTGTGTACTGCGTAAACAATTCAATACACTCGCGGTAGTGCTGGACAAACACTAACTCTGCGGGGTTAGTGAAATCTGAGCGGTAGAAGTCCTCAAAGGAACGTAGGGTACAAGCGATCAGGTACAAAAGCTTGTGGTAGCTGTTACATATGTGTTGCAGCTGCTTCAGCACTAATGCAGTACTCTTCTGTTGGAAAAGCTCAATCATCTGTATGCCATGACGATACCTTAGTAGCAGCTTAAGTTGCTGCTGAAGACCGGTGTAATAAGCGTGGAACTGGCGTTGAAACTTACGACGATTCTGCAAAGTATAGGTTGCTGAAGCGAGCACTAAAGGAATGGTTTTTCGATTTGTAGCATCGCGCATATTTAGAGTCAGTAGATGTTGTTCAAAGCTGGATAGCTGGTGCTCCTTTAGTTGCACCTCACCGCGCGCATTTAAAAGAACAGTTTGAAAGTCGCCGCAGCAGGCATTGAGAATATTTCGTTGAGTGATCTCCAGCTCCACTTTGTCCAATTTGAGTTCTGCTGGCGAACTAATATTAGATAGATCTTTTTGATTATTGAGTTGATGCTGTGTATTAAGACCCCAGTGGAATAGTCTACCATCTAGAGTTCGAGCAACACTGTGTTCTCGACCTGCAGCTACACTACAAACACCCAGCGCTTCTAACTTTTGCAAATAGTTTAATGTGTTGCGTTTGATGTGATCGCCAGTGCCCAGAAGTCCACCATTTTCTGCGCCAAAGGTACACACTTGAGTGTGCACCAAAGCGTAACCTTGTTTTATTATTTCTCTAAGGCAATAGTCAATGTCATCCTGCTGGGTGTGGCTCGACTTAGTGCTGCTGTAGGACCGCATTGACGAGTTGGAATTAACTTCAAGTTTTTTGTCTCTAGCTTCTTCGGCGCTGGTACTCTCAACTTCCAAGTAGTTACTGGTGTGCATTGCTGCAGGTGATGGAGGATGTGTTGAAGTAGCTGAGCAGAAAAAACGCATTTAATAACCACAAAAATTATATACAATTGTTATATTTACAAGCATGGTTTGGTTGACGCTTGCTGCTGAAGAGTTCTAAGGGGTCTTCCTGTGTAGGATAGGCGCGTTGCAACAATAAAACAAAAAACTCATCGCCTGCTACGAGATCCAGTATTTCCTTATTTCCATAGATGAGACGCATGTGCTTAGGCTGTACTTCTGCGTTAAATACCTCGCCGCAACTACCCATTGCATACAGCTCCCCTGTGCGTGTCATAAAGATTACACCTCGGGAAGCACAGCATATACGCTCAATGAGTATGCCTTCTTCAGAGAGTTCAAGGGGGTCAAAGGAAAGAGTTTGCCATGGCTCTGATCCCGAGTTTATGATATCGGTATTTTTTAAGTATTGCGTTTGCACTTCCCCTTCAGTAGTAGCCACAAACAACTGACTCATATGTCGACAATAAGCCACATCCGCTATTTTTGTTCGGAGCAATTGAACTTGCAGTGTATCAGCAGACTCTAGCGCCTGTGAAGCCATGAAGAGTGATCCATCAGCAGTTAGAATAAAAAGTAAATCTGGCTTATCTACAGCACATAGTCGGACGGCTGGTTGCCGCTCGAGCGCAGGCACAGAAGTCCACTGTAGGTGCTGCGCCACACCCTCTCTGTAGATTATGAATGGCTCTTGTGTGCACTCCTCTGCCATTGTCAAACTGGAGCGATGAGGCATTGTTAATTACGCAATTTTAATTAAATGCTATTGCTATTGTGTTCACCTTGAATTTTGGAATTTTACACTCTTCTAAATCTTATTCTTGTCTTGGCATGATTTTGCATTTACATGCCTTTAAGTTGGTTGCATGTTTACTTTATTACTGAATTTGTTTATTTACTTTCTAGTGACATCTGAGTACATAATTATGTGGAAATTCGACGATATTTTATATTTTTTGCGTAAAAAATAAATAAAATTAGCACAAAGAGAAATCAATTAACTGCGTTTCAAAACAATCAGGCGATGACAGCGAAGGTATCTCAAATAAAAACAAAATTCAGAAAACAGCTGATTTGCGAAGATCTGTTGAAAAGAAAGTAGAAAATGTCCCGTACAGGTTTACGGCGTGTTTACAATGGACAATAGCTATGTTTCACAACGAAAAAGTATTGAAAATTTTTACTCACACACTAACCCTGGGATTCAGTAATTCAGTCTCATTTCAAGTCACTAAATTTGAGATTAGCAATTAGAGACTCTTTTTGTGACTTCAGACGATTTGGGTATTCAGAAGGAGAGAGTCACAAAAAGTTCACCAAAAATGTGTGGTGAAAGCATGGTGCAGCGAACAAAGGTGGCGCCGTCAGAGGTACCGCTACTTTGGTTTTGCCGATTTTAACAGTTGTGGTAACTTGTAGATAAACCTTTTTTTACAACCCAGCGAAGGAGAAATTTGGACTATAAGTTAAAAATCACTTTAAATTGTGTTAATTTGCAATTTGTGAGTGATTTTTGAGCTGAAGACTGCGTTAAAACTAATACAATGAAGTGCTGTGTGTTAAATTGCGACAGCCGTCAAGATGAAAGAAGCGTAGATGCAAGTGTAGCGCTGCGATGATTCGCTGCATTTTGTATACATTGGGCACGGCAAAGCCGTTCCCGAAATGTTTTTCTATTATTATATTAACAGCATTTCCTCAGAATGATTTTGCTTCTGCTCCAAGCAGCCTCCATTAGCAAGTTTACTAATCAGTCCCGGTGAGATGCTGCTGCAGTTTTCTGCAGCAGCCTTAATTGCAAAGCAATGGAGTGCACTAAAACGTTACCTATTCTCTAAAATATTAGATGAAAAATGCAATATTTTCGCATTTAGCAAAATTAAAACACTTTTTCGCTGTAAAGTGAACTGTTTCGGCAGTTTCAACTCGTTCTTTTCGCTTATTCTTTGTTTACTTGTGGTACACAAATGTCAACGGCCGGGACGGCGCAATCTTGTATTCTATCATACTTGGGGAAATCCCACAAGGTTTCAAGGATAATCGTAACACTACTTTATTTTTTATGAATAACGCCCATGAACCAAAGACACAAGATCACGTAAGAACAAGAGAATGAAAAAAGTCGATTTTTTTTAGCGGGTTCTACGCCATCTTGTTTCACTGGAAAACGAGCGAAAAGTAAACAAAGCAAAGAAAACAACGAAAACCAAAATTAGCCAAAATTATTGTCAGCCACTTTAAACGCACAATTTAGGTAAAATGATGCAACAAAATGCTTTAAAATGTGTTGTCATGTTGAATTAACTATTCTTTACTTGAATCAAAGTGTAAAATAGTGGTGCTTGTGATGTAAACAAACGCTCAGCTGACGAACCCGCTTTCGCAAACTTTTTTCTCAAAACTAGTTACAAATACAACGTCGAGTTCTTACGTGATCTTGTATTTTTGGTTCATGAATAACGCCATTAATTTTTCGCTCGCTTTTAAAACCGAAATAACCATAATGCCAAAATGAGGTAATTCAGTGGCAACGCTGCACAGGTAACAGTAATCAGCTGTTTCCGCGAAGGCGAATTGTGTACGTCACAAATAGAAAAAAAAGAAAAATGTGAAAATAGTGAAAGCAAACAGAAGTTAAAAACTTGAAAAACAAGAAAATTTGTGAAAATTAATTTACAACACTATTATTGTCTAGGTGAAGATTTATATGTTTATATAATTCGGTAGGATGCACAGACAAGAGTGGATGGTACACTGCAATGAAGCGAACAAAACTTGATCAAGAAATGATGTCAGCAGCACCAAAATAAACCAGACCACAAGTAAGACTTATTTGCATAATTATATGTACATATTTATAATTAAATCACACTTGATATTCGAGTAGAACAACAAATAGCTACAATGAGTTTGGAGGGAATTTCACAGCCTCCATTGGAGGCTCCTCAGATGGACGACGATACCGACGGCCATTTGGTGGTCGTGTCAACTATCGAAACGGAAAACTCTTCTTCCTCCATGCGTATACGTAACAGTTCAGATATGTCGGAAAAGTCGGCCACTAGTGAAACGAGAAGTGGTGTTTTAACATATGATTCTGGGAATTACTCTACCAGTTCTAATACCAGTGAAATAACCTGCCCATTAGATGCTGAACTACATAACCATTGCCAGCATGTACATACGCTGTTGCGAGAGAGGGATCACGCTCTATTCCTGGCTATGCAAGATGTGCGCAAGATGCGAAGCGAACTTGAACGACTTAATAAGTCGGAGGGATGGTACAAAAAAGAACTGCGATCGCAAAAACGGACGCGACTGGAAGCAATCGAACGGCTATATGCTCAAGAGCGCAAGTACATGCAAGAGAATCAACATTTACAACGTGAGTGCATGCGTCTTTATGGCAAATGTGGTCAAATAGAAAAGGAAACACAGGCTAAACAGGATAAAGCTGTGCAAAAGCTAGTCGAGAATGAAGAACGGATGAGTAGTATAGAGAGCGCTGATAAAGAATTCAACTCGTTCGAGTTAGATCAGCAGCGGTCTTTGATTGACGATCAACAAAAGTTAATCAACGTTTTGCGAAAACAGAAGCAAGCTTTGCTGGAAGATTTAAGAAGACTGAACGAAGAAAAAGACACCAAGGTTCTGCAGCTGCAAGAAACGCTCGCAGGAGTTGAAGTGGAAAATACACGCATGACAGCGCAGTGCATGCGACTACTGACCGAAAGACAAGTATTAGAAGACACTCTTCAAGCAAAAGATGCAGTGCTGGATGCAGAAAATGTCGAAAAGCTAAAAATGCAAACTCTTATTGTAGAGCTGGAAGAGCAGTGTAACCGACAGAATCAAATGCTAGCCCTCAAAGAACATGAAGTTCACGAAATTCAACAAAAATTCAAAAACAATATTGAACACGAAACAAACATGGATGAAGTACATCGATTGAGCGTTTCATATCACTGTGAGATTAATGCTAAAACTGACGAGATTACTTCCCTCAAGAAGTCGTTGCGCGCAGTTCAAATCGAGTTGAGTACTTTAACTGAGCTACAGTCACAGAATGAGGAGCAAGCGCGGCACATAGAGCAACTAAACTTTACTTTAGAAGCTCGACAATGCGAATTATCAAATCTTCAGGAAACTGACGAAGAAAAAACGCAACAAATTACTGAACTACAGCGAAACTTAGAAAAGGCCCGAGCTCAACACGACGTCATAATCGAAAGTCTGAAATCTGCAGAATCAAGTCTAAAAAATGTCAATCGGGAACTGATCGCCTTGCACGAGCAATATGCCAATATGTGTGCGCTTTGTGAGCGCACACGTTTTGAACTGGAGTTACTGGAAATTGAAAAGGGTAAGCTCAAATTCCAAGCAGATGGTGATAAACGCGAAATCCATCTGCTTCGCGATAAGTTGAAAGGCTATATGGAACATACAGAGAAGGTGGGCGCCAAAATAAATGAGTTTGAAGCGAAATTGAAACATTCGCATACTGAAAAGGACGAATTGCTATTTAAATTGAGAGAATTGGAGAGAAAATTTACTTTGGAAAGGGAACCACATAAGGAAAGTGAGAAAGAAGCAGAAGTCGGATTGGAATTCAAAGGTGACATAGACCAGGTCGGCAATGCACAGGATTTTTTAAGAGAACATGAAGGTGATGAAGTGGATACAGGAAGAGTAAATCTAAACGAAGAGGAGGATAGTGGGTTTTTGGACGCAAGCGGAAACAGCGTAAATGAAAAAAATGACAATGTTGGCAAAAATCCTTCAGATTCAGGACCTTTAAGAATTTCAGAGTGTTCCAACTTTACAGTTGCAAATAATACGCTCATGGATCATGTGAGACTTCAAAAGGAAATTTTGGAAGAGAGACAACCACTGGCTGCTGCTTTGGAGAAGCTGGTTTGCAATGGAACAACGGCGCTGAAAGATTATAAAGGTAACACTTTTTTTACTATCATCGCTTTATTCTTTATCCTTTCATTTATTTTTGTTTTTAAGATTCATCCATAATTAGTGGTTATGATGCGGAAGAATGTGTTGGTATTATGGGACACCCAGAGCAGCTATTGCAAAACTTGGACAACCAAAACCTTCTTCCTGTGGAAAAGAAACGAATTTTTGAAGCTTTTGAAACTCTTATCAAAAGAGAAAATACTCCTCAAGAAATGTCACTCAACGGCCAAGAAATTTTGGAATTAAAAAAATTGCTCGTAGAAAACAAAAAACTAAAAAATCTGCTGACAACTGCTAAGAAGCAAACAGCAGAAGTTGAACCACTAAAACTCGCTTTAATAGCAAGAAATCAAAAATGTTCTGAATTACAAGAATGCGCTAGCACCTGCAGTGTAGAACTGCGAAAGCTGCAGGAGAAGCTGCTGGAAAGTCATGAGCAGCACCAGAAAAGCAAAAACGAGCAAGAGAGTCGTTACAGAGGTCAATTGGACGCCTACGAACAAACTATTCAATTACTGCAAGAAGAGAATAAACGATTGCTGAACGAATTGCAAACCGTTTTGGTGGCGAAAAGTGATTTTGAAAATAAGCTTTCACAACAACAGGGGATTGTTCAAGAATTGAGAGGCAAATTAGATGCTCTTCAAACAAACGAAATCCCCCGTGAAATTGAAAACGCACATGAAGGGAGAGAAATCCTCAATTTGAGGTCTCATGTGAAAGAACTCGAAATGCGTTTACAGGTAGCGATGCGCACCGACGAGGAGAGACGCAACGAAAGAGTGCGACTCATACGAAAATTGCTGGAGCAGCAAAATAGCAAAGTGAAGCAGCTGACCGAATCCCATGAGCAATGGGAAGAATTATTGTTGGCGCTGCAAGCCGCACAAAAATTAGAGGAAAATACGAGGGCCGAGTTGCAGTTAAAACACGCTGAGCTGGAAGAGTTGAATGCACTTTTTGCTGAACAGAATGAAGAGCTGCGACGGTTACAAGAAACCACGCTAACCGATGAATTTAATAGAGATCCAGCTGAAATTGAGGAAACGCGTCGCATATTCCAGCAACAGGTGGAAGAGTTGCAAGCTAATATTGGCACTCAGCTGACAGATAGCCAGGAAAAGCAACGCAAAATCGAAGAATTGCAAGGCAAAAACGAACGCCTCGAACGCCAGCTTAATGAAGATTACGCCGCGGAAGTAGCGAAAAACCAGAGACAAATGCGCGCGCTGCAAACTAAAATGGGCGCGATACAGGCAGAGCGTAATATTCATGCAGAGCGAGTGACTGAAATGGAGACCGAATTGCAACAGCTGAAGAAAAGTAAACGGGAAGGGCTCTTGTTGCCACCAGAGTTTGTGGTTGTAGCACCCCGATCAGTCACCATGGGGAGTAGTTCCGACGACGTTTCATCTCTTTCAAGCAATGGCAATGGACACCTGAGCAACAGTGATTCTGACAACAACGATCGCATGCGAATACTAACGAAGGTGCTCGAAGCAGAGTATAGGCGCAAAATGAAGCGCTACGATTTGCACATACACACTCTGTTGTGCAACATAAAAAAACTGAAAAAGGCTTTACGTGCGGCTGAGCAGCGCGCAACAAATTTGAGCATAGAGCAGAGTACGACAATGCAGGAGCTGCGAAGCCTGCAGTTGACCAGACGGCAGCTGGAGGAGATGCGTTTGAAGTGTGAGCAAAACCAAAGCACAATAAAGGTACGCCCAATGCTGATAAACACCATTTTGTATGCACACAATTTTATACTCTTCTCAATTAGGCACTCGAGCAGGCTCTAGAAATGGAGCGTAAAAAATTTGAGGCCTCTGACTTGGGCAAGGCGACGACGTACACATGCCAATCAGCAGCTCTAGCGCAGCAGCGAGACGAACCGGCGCACGAAGTAGCCAATCTAATAGATGATTATAAAAAGGTGCCAATTCCACTTTAATTTTGATTTGAAACAATTTTAATGATAAAATCTAATTTTCTTTTGCAGTTAATCCAGCAATCGGCGTTGGCGACACAACGCCCTAAAACCAGCACCATCCTTGACCTTATACAACGTAGCAATCAGTGTGTGCCAAATTTAAATAAACTCGAAGCTAGCGTTGATGGCCTGCGCAGTGATTTGGAGCACTTCCTTAGTGCGCACGCCACATTAAATATGTCGCAAATACAGAGCGGAAACAAACTAGAGGGACCATCACTAATGGACGAGCTGCGCGCTGCGGCAGAAAGCTAGTAAATTTGTAGTAAACTGCTTCCAACTTCCTCTTGCTGTGCATAAAATGCAAACAAACATTGCCAAAATTGAGTTCAACTATTCTATGTATACTTGTTTTATAGTATTTTTACATCGGCTGTTTTTAGATTTTTGTTCTATACATTTATTTATGATAATTTTGCACAAAGTACATCCTTTTAAATGTTAAAAGTGCAAATTTTTTAAAGCTTTCACTTACTTTAAGCTCTTCGAATAGTCAGCGGGTGGTGAAGCATTATAAGCGACCCTTGACTATTGGTTTTTGTTTTAATCCAAATGGATGCCAGTTAGGCCACAGACAAGACCTTTGGCTGAGTATATAGATGCATATGTATGTATGTATATGTATTTTTTATTTAAATTATAATGTGAATGCTCTTTTTGTCATAGATATCCAACTTGTTTATAAAAATTAAAATTTCATGTAACAAAATAAATAATAATAATAATATTTTAGCGCTAACACTTTTGCTAAGTGTATGGCCGAGCTTCTACTCGTATTTGTGGTGTTCGTCTTGACATTGTTACACAAATGCAGGGACCTACAGTTTTGCGTCGCTTCCGAGCGGCAAATGGATTTTAAGAAGATTTTCATGAAATAAACACACTCGGAGGTCATTCATTACCTGGCGGGGGGCGACCACTGTTAGAAAGAACTTTTTATAATTTAGATCTTGCTCGGACCAGGAATCGAACCCGGGTCCTGCAAAGTTGTAGTAGACACCTCTATTATTACTGGGCTCGTATTATTACCGTTCTTTCTGGCTGGGTTAAGGACCCACGTAAAAATTAATTGCATTAAAAATTTTTCTTACAGTCCCAACTTAAGCCCGGCTGGTTAATTTCCTCAGGAAGCCTAAGGTTGACCAGAGAACAGTCAGGTGGACCTTTGCAACGTCTACTACAGCTGCAATAAAATGGAGCGCATGACCGTTTCTAGGAAATTTTGGAGCTCGTTATACCTGCGACAACTTAAAATCGTGCGAGGCCACTTCAATGGCATGGTGAACAAGGAAGCGATCCTTGGTCCTAGCGTTGCAAAATTTAGCATACACGAAAACATCTCCGCTAACGAGCTAGTGATGATTGACTTCGCCGGGGTCTGAAACAGGAAAGTGTGTAGCGACACGTTGCTGCGTAAGAAATCCACCACCGGATCGAAAAACGAGAATCGAGCAGGTGATGAGAGACAGAAGACACGTTTCTAGTGTTAGCTGTATGTACGATTCAAGGACCTAACATCGACCCGTATCAATCGTATTGCGTGAAAGAGTCGAGCCGAACGTCAACTAACTGTTTTGGCCTTATGAGTGTGACATTAGTCCAATTTCGGGAAAGACTACCGAGAAAAATGTCATAAACCATCATTTTGTCGATGAATTTGGTATCCCCGCGAAACTAATACAGCTGTGTTAAACGACGTTGAGGGATACCACCAGCTCTTATACGTTAACTCCAAGAGCAATCAGCTTCGTTGCAAGTGTCGTATCTTGCACAGAACCACAATTGTCGATAGAGTACAGACAGTCGGGTCTACGTAACCGGAACGACCCAGATCTATATCTGGCCAATGACTGTCACTCCAGCAACACTCCCCAAAAAGTCTTTGGGGAATTTGTATGCTGCTACAACAACAACAACATAGAGTATGGAGCCGGAAGCATACCGACAGGCCATAAACGACATTCACAGGTCGGGTGTCAGTGTAAGCCGAGTTTTGGGAACACAACCATCTGGCCTGGATGCGACAGAGCTTCGTCTGTCTCGGTCGGCTCCCACCGTAACCCAACTTCGCCCTGGCTACTGCAGCAGGCTAAATTCCTACTTGAGCAGGATAAATACAGGTGTGTCCAATGAGTTGCCGGCATGCGGAGAACTCCCTCACGACTCGTCACACCTCTTCGCATGTCACCTGAACCCCCCACTAACTAGTGCCCCTGCCTCTATGGACTAACCCAGTCGGAGTTGTACACTTCCTGGGCCTCCCGTTAGTTGAGCGTGATCACAACGATCTAAGGGCCGGGGCTAAGTAAATCGCTACACGAACAACCACATCTCATATAAATATGGAATTTTCTTTTTATTAGTCAAGTAACTATAATTAATTTTGAAATACGCTTTTTTCTTTAGCTTTTGCAAACTCAAGCGTCGCGCATCTCTGCGTATCTCTCATTAATTGCTAATCATTTGCAAATCTAATTTCACAAAAAAAAAAACATATATATTTTGCCAGCATGGTCCACAATAATTTCAAAGTAAGGCGCTAATACAAATGGAACACAAAAATACAATCAAACCAATCTCAGTCCTTGCCCCCCTGCTTTTCAGTCTGGCCTCCTTCGGATTTATCATCTTTATGCTTACGCATTTCCTCAAAGAATCCGCGTGGAAATTTGCTGAATAGAATCTTGTCCAAATGCTGGGGGAAGTAGCGGGTATGGAATTTGTATGCCACATACTTGTCGGGCAAACGCGTGCTGGCGTTCTCACTATATACAAATATCACATTCTCATTGTGGTTAAGCATTTGTTGTGACTTCGCATACAGCAATCCGAAGAGCAAGTGTTTATACAGCGAGCGGTAGCAATTTTCGTCCGCCTTGCCGTTATAGTACAGTAAACTGACGTTGTGATGCATCGAAATGAACGTTTCGGCGGATTTCATGCGCGTTATTAAAATGATGTGGGCCTTCGGGCGAAAGTGGGCGATCTTCGCCGCCATGCGACCTGTCAGAGAGCAAACGAATATCAGCGGAGCGTTCATTTCGTATGAAGCGCAGACCACGGAGCGCGCCAGGGAGTCGCTGCCTGTAAGCGATCGATCGCAGTATGTTACCTTACTAAGCGCCTCCTCGATCAGCAACTCGGAGATCGAGTTCTGCAGGTAGAAGAAGTGAAACGAGCTTTGTGTGTGATTACATGGCATAATGTATTTGTCGGGGTAGAGAAATATGTGGCGATAGTGTGCTGGTTCGACAATTAGCTGCTTGTTAGCGATCAAACTGGGTTCCAAAACAATCACTTTCTGCAGCAGATACGCACGCTTCATGAGCTCTTCAGCGGCCGGACAAAGGTGCAGTATGGCCGGCTCTGGATGCTGCTGAGAAGGACTTAAGGCAATGACGAAACCATCATAGTGATCGGCCATCCAATTGACGTCGGTGCCGCAGCCTTTTACCTCGTTGATCACAATTCGCGCATAGAGGCGTACCTTCTCACATCCCAGCGTTTTCAATGCGTACTGCAAATTATCAAAATACTCCTGTGTGCCGCCAATATACGACACAAGCACATTTATGCCCACCTCTTTGCAGAATGTAATATCCTCTAATTCCTCCTGTGAAGCTAGGAACTTGCTGCAGCGCGATGGAAAGAGCACAGGTAGCCGCGACCTGATTTCACCGCCCACTTCAACTACGCATCGCAGATTAGCGTCCTTCTTGCGGACAGATACCTGTACATCGCACCCGATGCATATGTAGTCGAAAATATTCACCTCATGGAAAAGGAAGCCCGCATTGACGTAGACGCGCTTCTTGGAGCAGTGTGTCGACCATTCGCGCTTATTGGTCAACGTGATTTCATCACCTTTGTTAAGTATCACAACCAGGTCGGGTGGTTCCATCAAGCCAGTATACTGCAGACGTGGACTGAGTTTGGCGAAGATTGTAGACGAAATAGGGAAGCCGATTTCTTTTGAGTAGCTTAACTCACTTTCGCGCAGACGCAAAATAAGACTCTGATTTTCGACGAAAGTTCCATAGAAGAGATCGATAGCAAAGCAACGAATGCCAGCGCCTAAAAAGCAGAGAAAAAGTAGTCGTAGAGCAGAAGTCAGTCTAAGCGTGGAAATCTATTCACAAGGGAAAACGGAGGAGCCAAAAAACGGGGGGTAGAATAGAACAGATTTGTTAGAAGACGTGCACTGCGACCTAAGGTCTATTGTACCCTCAGAGCTCATCACAACACATCGTCCAGCCCTAATGCTCTGATGAAGCCAACCAGTTTGGAGGGCTGTAGAGAGTGAATGTCTGAAGCCTCCAGCCACAGCTTTCCCAAGTCTTCCTTTTCGCCCCCACATCAAATTCTAAGAGGAGATGCCGCGAGGTTTCTGGTATCCTGTCACTGTATGGACCCGCAGCGTGCAGTAGCCTGTTAGAAGCCCTGTTATAAATCTCAAATTCGTCTTGTGGAGTGTGATAAGTTCTCTGGATCTTCTGGGCTGCCGTAGTCCAGATGTGTTTTCCCAGCGTGTTCAACTTAGGTGTCATTCTTCTGCTCCTAACTCTTTCCTGACAGTGTCAGAGCAGACTGCAAGTATGGGTTCTGGTCCTATATGAAGATCGAGTGGTTGCTGCTTCTTTAGCTATCCTGTCAGCCTCCTCGTTGCACTGTATGCCTTTTTGGCACGGGACAAATATCAGCTGTACTGTGTGGAGTTCCCCCAGGGCGTTTTCAGTCTCGTTAAACATTCCCATACTAATCTTGAATTAATTTCATACGACAAGACGTCTTTTAGTCTAGCCTGACTCTCGCTACGGATGACAATGTGCTGTCTTCTTGAATTACTTCCGCGCAAAACACTGACAGCAAAAACCTCCGTCTGAAAGATACTGGAGTAGTTGCCCCAAGGGAATGTTGATATTGGCCTTGGGACCGTATATTCCTGCTCCTAAGCCTTTGCCAGTTTTTAAGCCGTCTGTGAACCACCTTTAGGAGTGGGGTCGAAAGGTGTTTTCTAAAACTGTTTCGTTCCAGGTTGCTTTGCTGCCTAGTTCGGTTGTAAACTTTTTCTCGAAGCTTCGTATCCTAACCATGTCAGCTCTGTTGAGTTGGAAGATAGGAATCTTGGTTCTGATTTCCTCTCCTAGTCTGCTCGAAATCGCCTTGCCTTTTCCAGTGCCCTCCCTTATGAAGCTGAGAAGGGCCTTCTTGGCAATCTATGCAGTGGCGACAGGTCCAGGATTACTTCCAGGGCCGCGGTAGGGCAGGTGCGCATGGCGGCTGTTATGCAGGTGCGCGCCAGTTGCTGAAGGCTGGAAAGCAATGCCCTTACTGTAATGAGAGCAGTCCTCTTGGACCATGCCACTGCTCCATATGTAACTACTGGCCTAAAAATTATTGTGTACATCCACCGCAGAATGTAGGGGTTGCACCCCATGATTTGCCGGCCAGTAGTCTGCACACGATTAAAGCTGGTGTGACTTTTGTTACAGCGTACTCAACGTGATTTTTCCATTAAATTTTGCAGTCGAAAATGACCCCTAGGTCCTTTCTAGTGTTATAGAGTGCTTGCCTGGACGCTTTCTTCTCCTAGTAAAAGGAATGATAGCTGTTTTGGCAGAGTTGATTTTAAGACCCACCGTTCCACACCATATTTTAGTTAGGATGAGTGCTCTTTGTACAATGTAGCCGAGGGTATTTTCAAATTTGGACCTCGCTATGATTACTATGCTGCCAGCATATCCTTGGCACAATGTGCAGTTATTTAATAGTAACTCATGTAGCTCCAAAGCAGAGGGGGCAGTACACCACCCTGAGGGCAGCCTTTTACCATCCTCAACTGTATGATATTATTGCCAGCTACGATCTCTGCCAGTCTGGTTCGTAGCATTGTACCGATCCATCTTCGAATCGGGGTGGTTACATTTCTTCTCTCAAGAGCTTGATCTACTGCCTCGTGTGAGGCAAATGCTCCTTCGATGTCTAAAAAAAGCAGATAGTGCAGGCCGTCTTATAAGGTTCAAACGAATCTATGCTCAATCGAACGGTCGACCAGGTGAACAGACGCTTTGCTGTCTTTCACACCTCCACAGCGGGTTTATAAAAGTCGTAGCTATCCTTTGCTACCGGAGTCGATGCTACTGGGAAGTAGGTGCTCAGAAGGGCCAGCGCTCTATCCTCCTCACTTTTGGTGTAGCTGCCGTCTGGTAGTTTTATCGCCATGTGATTTTCACCTGTGCCTCTCGATAATGCTCTGTGAAATCTATCGGCCTCCGGAGTGGAGGTGATGCCTTCAAAGAACATTATAAGTGCGTTTTGTGCGGTCTAAGCGTTTGCTGACTTCTTTCCAGCGACCTGAGAGGTTGGAGTTCCACCGTGGGTTTCTTTTTTGACCTATTGGTGAAGTCAGCCAGCAGCCGGGGTAAGTTTTTCATTTAAAACCAATTTTAGCGTTTTCGATGAAAGACCACCTACAGACTAAAACGAAACGGATGTTGGTATTACACTGAGTGGGGCGAGGCGGAAATTATCTGAGCACTTGTCGTTTCAATGCCACAGGATACTACGCCACCTTTACCTTTGTTGAAGAGATTCTATAATGTTGAGTTCCCTCAACATAATCGAATCTTCACTGATGGCTCCAAACTGACTCTGGGTCAGGATCTGAGGTCTTTATCGGAGTTAATGCGGATAAGATTAACTTTTCTCTTAGCAAGTATGATTCGGTCATCCAGGCTGAGATATTTGCAATCCTCAAGGATATGGACTACGTGGTGGAAAATACACAACAAAAAAACCTCTCTTAATTGAAGAAAAACAGCAATCAAAATGAAGAAAAATGGGAACGAAACAGCACTAAAAAAGTTTTATTCTCTTTTCATGGCCAACATTTCTTCAAAATGATAGATTACATTCACGGTTCCATATTTTCGTGTACGTTTTTACACATTCCAAAGAAAATTACGCATTCGGGAGAATTTTTGACTCATTCGGAAGAATTTTCAACCTTAAAGTAAGGAAAGTTTTTCTTTGATCCAGATATGGATTTTTGGTTCAGTGTAGGTGCAGGGGAGGAGTTTATCTACCTGTCTGCAGTGACATCCAAGCTGCACTTAAGGCACTACTTACTTCCAGATTCTGAGTGTTTATCATACCATGAATTTCAATTTACGTTATTGCGCATATCGGAGACAAATTTCCTTTTAATTTTGTAAATATTTTTTTTTTTACAATAAATAAATGATTATTGAGGACTAGGTATGGCAGCACGAATGTCACAATCTGCTTAATTGCCAGGTAGTTAATATGGCGCCCGAAAAGTGACAATGAAACTACCTTCTTTTTAGTATCATGGTTACAACCAAGAAAATCATATTTATAACCGAGTGCACTTGTGCACAAAGGTAACATTTATAACTTTGTTCACATAACGGTTCACAAAACGAACCGTAATAGATATAAAAAAATGTATACATAAATGATCAGAATGAAAAGAGAAGTCGATTAAGCCATGGCTGTCTGTCCGTCCGTCCGTCCATCCGACCGTACGAGTACACTCCGTGACAACTCGAGCAACAATTTAAATATCTCAACGAAATTCGGTATGTAGATTGCTATTTACGCAAGGTAGGTTGGTATTGAAAATGGGAGGAATTGGACCGTAACCACGCCCACTTACCATATAACGGTGGTTTTCAGAAATACGAAAACTGCGATATTTTAGTAACTATTGAAGCTTATCACTGAATATTGATATTTACAATGATTTTTAGACGTAAAATAAGAATATAAAAAATTTTTAGAAAATGTTACTTGTTTCAAGAGGATGTCGTTAGTATCAATTTTAAGTAAATTAGCGTCCTTAAATGTCGAAATATCGAAGTTTCAAGAATTTCTGAAAATTACCGTTATATGATAAGTGGGAGTAATTTTAGTCCGATTTCAATAATTTTCAACGTTTTTGTGACAAGCACAATAATCGTACCGAGTTTGGTACAAATTGTTCGAACGGTTACCGAGATAAAGATAACAATTCTCAGGCGTTTGGTATTTTGTACCAAGGCCAACAACTGTGCCAAGTTTGGGAGAAATTGGTGGAGCGGTTACCGAGATATACACATGTAACCATAAGTGGGCGTAGCTATGCCCATTTTCCAAAAATTTATATTCTTATTTTTCGTCTAAAATTATTGTAAATATCAATTTTGAGTGAATAATCTTCTGTAGTTACTAAAATATCGCAGTTTTCGTATTTCTGAAAAAAACCGTTTTATGGGAGGTAGGCGTGGCCGATTTTGCCCATTTTCAATACCATGCGTCCTACGCCGCAAAGAAGGACACGTACCAAGTTTCGTGAGGATATCTCAATGTTTACTCGAGTTATCGGGTGCACAGACGGACGGACGGACGGACATAGCGCGGTCGCCGAAAGATATTCCGACTCTGTCGTCGCGCTTCGTCGGATTGGACAATGACCTCACGGTTGACCAATGCTTACTCACACCAGAGGTGAAGTTGCAAGTCTTGCTGATCTTCCCTCTTTTTCCGCTTATGTACGTTTACAAGCTGCCGAATCTCCATGTTGAGATCGTTGATACGGGGATTTCCAGGATCGGCCTGACAAAGGTTGTCACGCTCATCGGCTAGGACAGCCGCTTCAGCAGGAAAGGTAGGACGGGGGTCCACTATACAAACTGCTGGTACGAAGCGAGCTGCAGTCGCAGTGACAACCCTGCGGAACTTACGTTCACCTAGGTGAACGTCGGTTGGTGTGGGGAGGGCACAGCAGGTGGTTTCAGTAAATTCTGCGAAGCCTTTCCAATCAGCTTTGGTAAAGTTGATATAGGTACGGTGTTCCGCGGAAGCAAAGTCGGCAGGTTTATCGATCGAGATGACTATGGGAAGATAGTCTGATGCTAAGGTCAGCATAGGAGCGCACCGGACAGCTGGTGACAGGGGGTACATAAACGATAAATATTTCGAGCTCGACATCGCCTGACCGGATAGCAAGGCCCTGACATTCGATGTCTGCTTCGACGAGACGATACTACACGGTGTGGTGCGTGATAAACGATAGGCCTCCACCATTATCTCGCTCGCGATCTCGACGGTGAACATTGTATCCGGCGCAATTCAACAACGTTGAATTGATGAGCAACTTCGTCTCTTGGACCACAGCTATCAATATTCCATGCCTTCCCATGAAGACGGTTATCTCCTTGATCTTTCTCTGAAGTCCATTACAGTTTAATTGAAGGAGCTTCGTGTGGCTGTGTGCGTTGCTGTGATAGGTGCCTCCCTGTGGAGGTAGTGGGTGGCGCCGCAGATGGGGCTTCCGACGTGCAGCTCAACCTGGGCCCTCGAAGTTCCCCGTCCAATCTCGCGTGGTGTGTAGACCGGAACATGCCCTGAAGTGGCACCAGCCAAGGCAGGTGTTGCACTTGACTGATGTCACATTACGGAATATCCTGGTCTGACACACCATGCAGATTGTAGGGGAACTACGAGTTGTTGGCGGCGGCGTGTGGGTATTGGTGCGGTTGCATCTGTTGCGGTTCTGTCTATTGTGCTGTGTTGTTATGCTGTGGTGTTTGTGTTGAGCTGTTCAGACGGACTGGGGTTTGCTTGGAGGCAGCTCCGTTGGACCAGAACGGGGCCACAAATGAAGTGGTCCACTGACGGTGTCCGTAGGCCTGAGCAGACTCTAAGGTGACTTCACGTGCGAGCATTTCACTTGACTGAGTTGGAGTTGTGGTATAGTCGTCTCGGGCATACACAACAGGTGTAAGTTTCCTGGCCCAAGGTTTGATTCGACGCCAGCCCTGAGCAGAATAATACGTAGCAGATGTAGCCCTATGGAAGAACAACGTCTGAGATATTTCACCGACTTTAACTGGGTTAGATCGCCGAGCCAACAGCCCTTGGTCGGGTAAAACCCGAGTCATTCCGGTACGTAGAACCGGCTGTCGTGGGAATGCCGTTCGTTGAGTGCGAAGGCTTCTGCAGAAGACGTGAAAGAAGTCGAGGCTCGATGTGGCCATAGTTTGAGCACATTCACTCCCTACCCACGAAGCTCCCCTGAACTTTCTGAATGTTTTAGAAGTGCAAGAATTGTTGTGAAGAGTAGAGGGCACAGCACATCACAAGGTCTATCTAGATACTTACGCAAATATGTGTCTATAGACGCGTCGCACTCTCCATTCACCAGTTCGATGCATTTCTTGCTATCGCCAAAGGCGCCCTCTTGGCCCTCACTCAAAATCTGATAGCCTTTAAAGTAACCCTGCCATACGTCCACGTCTAGTTCTTCCTCACTTTCAATAGACTTGGACATAGTTGCCTTTTCTTCTTCATCCTCCTCTTCTGTCTCCAATAGCTCTTCTTCCGCTTCTAACTCAGCTTCGTACAAATCCTCAGACGATTGCTTCTCCGAGCTGTATTCGCGAACTCGTGTCATCCACTCGCTTTCAATTTCGTCAACGTAGTCATCAGAGCCAAGGACTTTAGTGAAAACATTCTGATACTGAACTCGTGCCTGTAGCTCACGCACATAGTTTAATTTATCCATGTCGGCGGCCAAAAGTGTGCAACGAACATTTTCACAAATATTCGCAAAAATTTCTTCATCCATTCTGATAAAAGACGACTTTAATAACTATCTGATTTTTATGTTAAGGCGATACTCGGACTCAAAAAAAAAATTTTTTGTTTGAAAGCTAAATTTTTTAGTAATATTCAAAATATCTGATTTTAAACACTTTTTCAATTATATAATTCAGCAAGATCTTTCTTCTAACGTTGAGTAAAAATCATTTAAACGAAGCCATCATGTCTCGATTGACCCTCCAGAAGTCCTTCTTCGAAAATCTATGGCCACTGATACTGACCGCGAATGTATGTGATACTTCGAGCAAGAATACGTGTAGTTTTTATGAGCCAGATAAAACATTTGACAATATCTGGCTGCACGCGTACCTTGCGGATCGCGGTTTCAAAAGTTATCAGCCGCCAACAGTGATTCGCTGTTGCTTTGACGAGAAAGAAGAGAAGTTGATGCTATCTGAGCCAACAGAGACAACCAGTAATACCGACTTACTTCTATCCGAGCCAAACCTCAGAGCAGAAGATGAGCACTCCCAACAAATAGAACAGGAGGAGGAGGAGGAAGGTTTATATGCACCTAATCCCGTAGATATTTTATCAGTAGAACGGATGGCTGTGATGAGTGGAAATTTTGATCAACGGCGAAAGCTTGCACACGCTTTCGTTAATCGACAGTATCCCTGGTATATGCAACCGCCTGAATATGATGCTCCCTTCCAGCTTGCTGACTATGTTCACCAAGAGTTCAATGGCAAACTCCAGCAGGCTGTCATAAGGGACATACATACATTCAATTGTAAGCTGATGTTTATAGATTTAGCAGTGCAAGTATGCCTTCACGAGATGCATCAGTGGCTGAAATTCACTCGATTCGCTTTCATTATTGTGCTGGCGCGTAGCCAAGATGCGGTAAAGCAGATTAAATTGATGGGACAAAATTTGACCGCGGTGATGATCGAGGAAGATATTAAGCGCACTTGGCAAGAGCAACTGACAGAGTCGCTCCACGTATGCATGGCACATGCCTCTGAACTGGGACTTGTCGAATACTGCACACAATCGTTTGCATTCGTTTTCTCACGAAATCGGAATAGTTGCCGCTTAAATACGCACAGAGTGCTGAGAAGGAAGGCTTAGTTAGCTTCCAAATTTTAAGGGTTAGGAGTGTTAATGAGGGTTTAAAAAGTATGTGACTTCGGCCGGATATCCAACGTTAATTAGATGTACTTACATATACAAATCCACAAAAGTAATTTCTTGAAACTTAAATGAGTTATAAATTATTTATAGTGGATACAAATTGATACATATAAGACATGTTCTAAGATAAATTTTATGTCACTTTTATGCTTAAGAAGTATGCATATTAATATTATATATTATTATTTTGAGCTTTATCCGCCTTTTTCATATACTTTTAAATGTATTATACGTTTAAAAATGACTTAGCGCTTGATAAATATGAAAAATTTTGAAGTATGAAGAAATACAACGCCACAATCTGGCGGTGTTTTTCATCTTAAGTTAGCAACAAATTCATGATGTCGCGTTTGACTGCGCGCTTCTTTTCTGCCGGCATTTTCTTTAACATTGCGGAAACCAATTCACCAAATATAGCGTCTTCACACCGTTCTTCCGGATTGTTACTGCGGTTAGTCGTGTTGTTTGTACTTACACTGCCCGCAGTATTATCACTGCCCGCAGTATTATCACTGCTGCTGTCTCCTTCCCGTATTTCCACTTTGCCCTCCACCTTTTCCTCGGTTGCTTCATGGATTTGAGTACGAACGGCTTCCTCCTCGGTTGCGCCACTTCTATTGCATTGGACCTCTTGAATCTCTTTTTTTAAATGTCTAGACTCTCTTAGGATTTCATTATACTGTTGTTGATTTTCTGGTTCCTCCTGCTTTATATGCACCTCTACTTCAATTCTTTCGATTTCATTTACTTCGTTATCCTGTTGTTGTTGGTCCTGTTCATGCTCCTGCTCCTGCTCTCGCATTCGTTCCTGCTCTTCTTCCTGTAATTCTTTTCGTAGTTCATTATCGTTCAATTGATGTGTTGCTTCATTGTTTGTTTCATCTTCCGAGCCGAGCGTTTCCACTTCCAGAAACACGTACTCATCGCTGCCGCTGTCGTTTTCCAAATCTTTTTCTGTGATTACAAACTCGGGCTTTATAACATTCATCGGTAAACTTTCTTCGCATGGTCGCTCTTCTCGCTGCGGCGGCCGCAAGTAGGGCAAGAGAAACTCCATTTCCTTCTTGTATGGAAACTGGTTAGGAGCAACCTGGCTGTCGGTTATGGCGTTACGTTTATAGTGTTCACACAGAAAGTGCCAACGACTTTTCAAAAGTGCCTCTGTTCGAAATTATATGAAAATTAACATAATTTTTTTTGCAGTCCGTAAAGGCAGACAGCGTAAGCTCACCTTGCATTTTCATTTGCTCTGCTATCTGTTGCCAGCCACACTTGCGTTCCGGTAAGGACACGCTGTTATTGTAGAGGAAAGGACACTGACGCACGGCCTCAATAAGACGGTGATTAAGATCCATTTCAACTTGAACGATTTGCTGAAATATGTTAAATTTTCCGCCAATACGCAATTTCGCTGATGTTTTTTCAATTTGTTTACTATTTTTGTGTACGTGACTGACAGCTCGAAATTGGAGTGAGTGAAAAGAGTGCAGTGTTGCCATGGCCCTTTTAGCCGGATGAAAATTAGTGCGGCCAATAAATTTACGTTATTACGATTTTTGCTACAGCCAGAGAACGTATAGTCAGAGAACGTATAGTCAGAGAACGTATAGTTATGAGAAGATGCAAATCGTAAATCTGCTCTTCTTCATTATTTTCTGAAACGTTTCAACCATGGGTCGTAACAGAGAAATGCTAAATTTCATCAGAGAACGTATAGTTATGAGAAGATGCAAATTTTTGTATCGTAAAAACGAAAGTCTGAAACGTTTCAACGATGGGTTTTCACCGCGGTTATTTAACATTTCAAATTGACTTTACAGAGTGGTGTGCAGGAAAAATGTTGTCAACAGTATTGTGCAGACAGTATTATGCAGAAAATATGTTAAAACGTCTAAATGGTAAAAATTGCGCCAAAATTGATACAAAAGGAGGGAAAAATTACATTTCTTCTAAAATTTTCTCTGACATCGTGAAAAAGTCGAAATTGGTGGTGTAAAGCAAAGCTTTAATTTGTGATTAATTGATTTATTTTTAAAAATAAAAATGCCTGTAAGGAAGTGCAAAGTGCGTGGATGCAACAATACTAATGCATCATTCCGTATGTATTGCTTTCCTCAGGAGTAGAAAATGGCAAGAAAGTGGAGGGAGAACCTCAACATATGGATATGACAATTAAAAAAAAAAAAAAAATTATTACTTGGTCCGTCCGGGATTTGAACCAAGACAAACGGCGAGACGCCAAAAAGTTGCATCGCCTCTAGCGTACACGCCACGGCACGTTACTGAAACTGCAATCTCTAAATCACTACATATATGAAATAAATATGTAGGTATGCAATGTATGTATGTAACATATATATTTACATACAAATGTACGATTGGTCTGCTTTCGTCTTCCCCTCGCCGCTGCCTTCAACACAAATTATTCAATTTCTGCGAATCGGCACCAGATTGACACGTGCGCGAAACCATTAACCCCATGTTTGCGAAATATTTAGATTTTCGCATAAGTTTGCATTTAATAAAGCAATACTCGTACATTTTGTATGGTGAATAATATTAATTAATTTAAAATTCTGCATGTAACCATGTTCTCGACGATATATGTAACTTTCATAAAGATTAACCATAAAAATTTTGCTTCATTAACAGTTGCAACCAGCTGAAACCAAAAAAACTATGTCCGCTAAATGGGTTAAAGACCAACTGGAATTGACATTTTTTACACGCATACATGCATACATTCATATACACATGTACAGTGGAGTAGCAATAGCTTGAACGTTGCATTGCTTGTACTTTGATGTGTTTGAATCTTTTATGGTACTGAAGAATTGCTTACGGATGAAAAATATTAAAAATCGTCCGTGCATATATGTAAATATACTTTTATAAACGCTTTGAAGTATAGAAATTTTTAATATTAAAAAATAAATAAAATAATTTGTTTGTATATATGTAAATGGTGTTCAAGGCACATTGACCCACCTGTACAAAAATTGTGGCGCGTCATGGACAAAAATTTTATAATTTCGGACCGAAAAATATGAAAACGAGCTAAGTTGCCACGTTACATTTGTGACATTCCGATAAAACCAAATATGTTTGTGATTTTAGAAGTTTTGATTTTATTAAAAAAAAATCAATGTATTTTCCTGCAGAAAACGTACACTTTTATTTAATGTTTATTAAAATTACACCTTAAAATACTAGTTAATGGTTGAAATATTGGAAGGGAACAGAGAAGTTGAGTGTTTTGTCAAAAATTAACAAAAATTACCAAAATTCGAGATAACTTATTTTACTGGATATAGAGAAATAATTGCCACTTTTCACTTGGCTGGCCGAGATTTCTTCAATTTTACATTTTAGAATTTTTGTGTCGGATTGACAAAGTTGCGCTTGAGGGTGATGAATTTGCGGGGAGATGTGCTGCTGTAGTATTTAAGAATGGAATATCTTGACCTTGAGAAATATGCGAATGCGTTTATGATTGAAATAGTTATTGTTGTATTTGAGTATACGTGTAATTATGTGCATATGTATGTATGCTGCCGTGATTTGTACATATGCACATTTATATGCATGTTCGTAGTTTTTTTGGCAGTAATATGCACATACATATATATGCATGTAAAAACGTTATCAAGTAATGGAGCATGTACATATGTACATACATAAATTTAGCATTTCTCTGTTACGACCCATGGTTGAAACGTTTCAGAAAATAATGAAGAAGAGCAGATTTACGATTTGCATCTTCTCATAACTATATGTTCTCTGATTTCATGTTACTGTGCTGCAAAGTCTGCAAACCTGCAAACTGAATGTTTATCATCTGTTAACCAAACCAGCAAGCATATGAAAACAAAAACTTGTAATTACAATTAAAAATAAATAAATTATTGGATATGCATTGAATGTTTTTTTTTTTCAGTAATTGCTCTACTTATTTAAAACATTATGAATTGTACGT